GGGATACTTTAGGGTTTGTTGGCTACCGCACGGAGCAGTACAACCTCAACCCATCTCATATAACATGTCGACATGTAACAGATAAATGCACATACAGATAATCAATCAGTATCACACGTAGTCCTACAGATCTACCAGACTAGCATATCAACTGGCATACATCACTAACTCAAACTCAACATATTAATAACTACTAGGATATCAAATCCAATGGGCCGACCTTGGTGCCTTAAACCCCTTAGTATTGTGAGGATAACTCACCTGGCACTGCTAAAGTCCTGCAGATAAAACTCCAGTTGCTGGTTGACAGATCCCCGAACTGTCAACATCAAACAATACCCAATTAATAATTGGGTTCCAAGCCCAAGGTCCAACTCACACTACAAAAGCCAAAGTCAAATAATGGGCCAAAGCCCAACATATGGCCCAATTTTCCAAATTGGGCCCAGACCTCCACATGGTCTTTCCTTAAGGCCCATCCAATTATTCCAGTCCAATTCCCATGGCCCAATATTACATAATCATAAAGGCCCAATTATGGCCCATCTATGGCCCAATTTTCCAAATTGGGCCCAAGTCTTTCATATGGACCTTATCCTAAAGCCCATCTAATTATTTTGGTCCATTAACTTGTTCTTGGATAGTCCATCAATAGTCCAATCGCCAAAGCCCAATAGGAAAACCCAACACAAGGCCCAAGTGAAATTAAGGTTTTCACATGAAATGACAATTAATGTTAAGTGTTCCTACTTAACCCATTAAGGACTTAATCCATTAAGTCTAATATTGCTTTAGGTTAATTTGCCAATGATTATTAATTATTATTTTATGTTTAATAATTAATTCCAACGTGGGTCCCGATCAATCCCCAAAATTAGGGTTTCATGACATTAGGGTTTTCCAAACCCTAATTAGGGTTTCCAACCCAATACTAGCCCATTAGTCAATTGGTTGGGCTTTTAGGTCAATTTGGGCTTCATTGGGCCCATTAGGGTTTCTTTGGGCCTACTAGGGTTTCTTTAGGCCCATTCTGTCCAAGCATCTCAAACGAGTCCAAAACGCAAACGAGGCACACCGCCACCCAACACGGCAGCTGGTGGCGGCAGGAGGCGGCAGCCACCACCCTATGGTGGTGGTTTTTGAGTTTTTATTATCATTCCGACACCGATTACAGTTTACAACCCAATCCCGATATCACACGCTCACACACTAATATAAACACACACACACATAGAGACACGCACACAGCCACCACCACGCGGCGGCTGGTGGTGGTAGAACAGAAAGGTGGCGATAACCACCATGGTTGGCAGCCATGGTGGTTTTTCCATGGTTTCCGGCCAAAAGGGCACAACCACCCTCGAGCAGCAACACCAAAACACACACAAGCATGAACTGATCACGCAAACCCATCCATCAACGACCTGGAGGCGGCAAGCGGTGGTAGATGGTGGCAGGAAAACGGCAGCAACAGCAATATGGCGTCCGGCGGCAGCAGCAACGCGAGTGGCGGCGACAGCCGCGATTTTAGAAATGGCAGCCACCACCTCACGGTGGTGGCGGTGACTTCTCTTGGTTCCCAACCAAATAACTTCGACCTAACGCGAGCAGACGGCACACGGACCCAAGCCCCGTCGTCAGATACGCACCCACCTCGGTCGCTTTGGGGTGGCAGCAGCAGTGTTTGTGATGAAAGCCACCACCTCACGGTGGTGGCGGTGGTTTGCTTCTTGATTCACAGCCCAGTATCACGTCACCCACACAAGAGATGACGTGAATCGGTATCCCTCAGCCACCGACTGTGGTGGCGCTACGATGGCGAGGCGGAGGAACGGCGGCAGTACCCGACGGATGATCTTCCGACTTCAATGGAGACGGCAGCGGTGTTATTTGGTCTGGCGACCCATGGAACCAACGTCACGGAAGGCTATTCGTCGTTGTCGTGGTTGCACCGTCGGTTGGCTTGGACGCGGCGGCCGGACATAGCAACCATGGATGCGACGGCTGGAGAATGGAGGAAGGGAGAGGTGGCGGTTGGAGCTTAGAGCATCTAGGGTTAGGGTTTAGAGGGATAGACGGGTTATATACCTGGTTCCTTAGGCTTTATCCCATAATAGCAAAAATGGTCCCTCCTTGTATTATTCTTTTCAAAACAAATCCCTAATTTACCAATTAAACCCCGTCTTCTGAAAACCTTTCCAAATCAAGTCCAAAATGTTATCAAGCAGCCCCTCCTCTACAAAATCTTCTCATCTTAGGTCCAGAACTTACTCTTTAGTCCATGCTTCCATAAATCCTTACAAATTAAGTCCCAAAATTACACTTTAACCCCTGTAGATTCAAATCTTGTCATTTGACTTCCCGAAACAAACTCCCAACTAATTATTATTTGGTTTTGGATTATTATAATATTAAATAATAATAATAATAAAACTTGCTTCTCGGGGTTCCGGGTTTATTATTTAATTATTATATTTTAAATGGGATTTCACAAAATCATTATGTTAATATTTATGTTAATATTTAGTGAAATGAAACAAGGTTATTAAGTCAACAATAGTAAGACGTATATAGATTTCATATTAAATATTTAACACATTAAACTTAATAAATAAAAAAAAGAATATTATAACTGTTCAACCACTTTACATATTAAATGTTTTCAACCATTAAACTTACTATAAAAACAAAATAAATAAATAAACCCTATATATAACTATTCAACCACTTTATCAACACCTAAACCACTTAACGGAGAAGAAAAAACAACCCATTAACTTTCATTCAAACGATATAATTTTACGTTAATCGCTATCATCAAAAAACAGAAGATTTTACAACACAAAATTATCATATTTTATAAATAATCATTAATTTTACAAAATAACTTTTACAGAATTACTTTAACTTAACCGAGTGATCCCCACTACAAAAAAACATCCCACTTGCTAGTTATTCGCAAAATAGGTATTTTCACAAAAGAAAATCGCTCTTCGCAAAATTGTCCATATTTTGTGATATATTTACTCATGCTTATTCTGCAAAATTCTACATATTTTCCCAAAATCTTAAAATTTATGTACTTACTGTTTTAAGCACTATACTTCAGTTTTCTATCCAAACGATATTATATTAGGCCAGGTGGAGTGGGTGCGGTCTAGGTCGCACTCCATTAGCCACATAAGCACAAACACCGCTCCCTGGGTGCGGTCCAGGTGCAGCTGAGGCCGCACTACGGCCTTCCAGGGGAGCGTTTCTTCCTTGATTTTGATTGGTCCTCGTGGTTACCGTTTGCAAACGGTCATTTTTCAAAAACAATAAAAAATTTTTACTAACACTATAAATACCTTATCAAATTAACCAAAAACACTCGCAAACATTTTATTTTTTTACCATCTTCTCTATTTTAAAACCCACAAAAATATCATCCTCCAAAAATCCAACCAACCAAAAAACACCCACTAGAAAAACCACAACTCCAATACCTTCACTCGATCAACCGGTTTATTCACCTCATTTCTACCACTATGGGGGTATGCTTCCCTATTTTCCGCAACATATCCAACAACCACAACGTCCTACGCAACCATTTCCACAAACACAACCACAATTTGACCAAGATTTTGATCCTTTTGATTTTGGTTCTCAACCAGAGTTTGTTCCACAAACACAATCACAACCACAAACACCCATTTCTGAATCCGAACCAAAATTTGTTCCACAAACTCAACCCTCTCAACCAAGAAATAAAAGAAAAGAGAAGGCGGAAGCTAAACTGTGGGAACCTCAAGAAGAGTTAGTATTAGCACAATCATGGATTGACGTTTCAGATGACGCGAAGACGGGAGTCAACCAAAAACATGAGCGTTTTTTGATGCGCGTTAGAGCTCGATTCCACAAAGGAATGAACCTAGAACCATATCGTACTAAACATCAAGTGTACTCAAAATGGGGAAAGATGAACAAAGACGTCATGTTGTTTAACGGTTTATATAACAACATGAAACGACAATGGAAAATCGGCGAAAGTGACGAAGTGATTTTGGAGAAAGCTTTTAACATTTATCAAAAAGAGCAAAATAAGACTTTCAAGTTTTTTGAAGTTTGGAATCTACTCAAAGGCAACAAAAAATGGCAAAATCTAAAAACAAGCGACGAGCACATCAATAGTGGATCAAAACGGTCAAGAACTTCCGAATCCGAACACACATCATCGGATGCTAGTGTTGGTTTCGACCTTAACGAGGACGAGCCCGTTCAAGTGTCACCAACCCCCCCCCCCCCCCCCCCCCCCCCCCCGGACCAATGGGAAGGGACAAAACAAAAAACAAAGGCAATGGCAAAGCGTCAGAATCAGACGACTTGAAAGAAATTGGCGATAATGTGCAAGGCATAAAAGATGGAATGGATAAATTTTTGCAACTTGCTTCGGATAGATAAAGTCGGAAACAAATGGACAGCGACCTGAGAGTGTTATCGATGGACACGTCGAATTTGACCGGGGATGCGTTTTAAATTGTTTTGCAAATGAAAGAAGACGTTAAAAAACGTTACGCTAATCGTGGTTCATTTGTAGTTGTTGTCCAAGTTTTTAATTATTTGATGTGTGTGTGTGTTTTTTTTAAGTTGTAGGTTTAAGCTTCTAGTTTTTTATTTTCTAATTTCCTAAGATTTTTTTTAATGTCATGTTTTTTTTAAAGTAATGTAATGATTTTTATTTTTAATTAATGAAATCTTTTGTTTTTAATTAAAACTAAAATATTTATTTATTTAAAAATAAAAATAATTAAAAGAGTGGCACCATTCCTTGGAACCACACTTTTGTGGTAAATGATGAAGTGGCGCCTACATGTCACTGCGGTTTCATGAGGATTCCCTCCAGCCTTATATTGTGCTGCTATTTTATATAAAATCATAATCTAGTCAACGAATTTGGAGAGAAAACCTTCATTATGCACATCATGTACTTACTTTACCAGTTGCAATTAATCAGAATCATAGGCTACATATATATATATATATTTCCTTCCATTAAAAGCTAGAGTATCCAAATGGAGCTTCTAATCAATGTCAACTTTCCTTCAAGTACATATTTTTTTTCTATACACAAACGTTTTTCAAACAACAGGGACCTTATTACCTTTTATTCCCTCAGAAAATGACACGTGGGGCACAATTGGAAATTTGGATTTTGAAATCTTTGAATTATTAGCTTCTCGTGGGTATGGATAAGTAGATGCCAATTCTCTCACACGACATAAAATCGATTTTGGCAATGGACGCCATGGCTGACTCCTTTTTTGCTCATCCTGCCATTAAAACAAACTTCCCATTCAGTTATAATCATCATAATCCAAAAAAATTCGAAAATAAAAAACTATAAAGATTAATTGCATTCAAATAATAGAAGATAAAACAAGATTAACTAACCTCTATCCTGCTTCCCTTTAGTGCACGACTTGCTTTCAAAAGATTTCGCCATTTGTCCTGCGAAATATATATATATATATATATATATATATAAAATTAAAACAGAAAGAAAAAGAAGACATTTTTTCATAAAGGGTACTGTTGGAATTACATAAACATTATGATAGAGGAAGAAAGGTGGCACCTTTAGATCTACAGGCGTTCTATGAACAGATGTTGAAAAGAGTAGTTTCTTGATATGTGTCCATTTTCCTACCCCAAAATGAGCAACACCATCAATCAATTTCTTTACTTCAGAAACAGTCCACAGTCTATGAAGCTTTCTCTGATTGCCACCTGTCATTGATCTCATCATCTGAGTCTCAGAATCATCTCCAGACCCACTTGAAAAACTCTCAATCTGGTTTTCCGTCTGTTCAAGAAAAAGATAAAAAGATATAAAACTTATCACAAACCCAAGATTTTTTCTTTTTAAAAAAAGTTAAGGGGTATTTGTGTAATTTACCGTAGTTGGTAGACTGATTTTTTGACATTCTGTTGGGCATTGAGAGATAAAAGGTACTTGAATGGCTTTACCAAAAGAGATTTCAGAAGATTGGATGTTTTCTTTAGGTTTGACCTCGTTTTGACTTTTGACACGTCGAACCGTTGACATTTTGACTTTAGACATTGAAGAAGGCTCTTTTCTTTTCTTACAATTCTTTAGAGTCAAATTTGATGACTCATCGATGTATCTTTTTGTGGGCTTTCTTGATCTTTTGTGTGTGATTCCACCAACACCATGTTCTTGAGCAGAGTTGGTAATTAGATCTTGACGAAAAGGTGTCAATTCCATTCCGGTTTGTGCAAACTGGAGTGGGAGATTCCCTTCGTCGTCTTCCTCGTCTATGAATGATTTTGAAAAATCTTCAAATTTATCTACGGTTTTCGAATCGGTTCCAAAAATGTTGCCAAGGAAGTAATTCTGGCATTCGGACTCCGGAATGGAATCCGTCAATGAATTTTGTATTCCGAAATTGCCCTTGTTGCGGAACATTGGAAACGGCGATTCCGAGCTAGAGTTTCCGACATGCAAAGGTTCATTGGAAACATAGTCTATACAAGCACCATGGTCAACGTATCCAATATCTGTAGTCAACATGTAAAACATATAACATTATAATGTCATATGATTTTATTTAGGGAAAAAGAAAAAGAGAATAGTATGAAGAATCACCTATGAGATAATCATCACAAGGAGAGATTCCATTTGATGTTAGGAGATTTTCTACTCCAACTTCATGTGGTAAAACATCAAGTGCCTACAAATATGCTATTTCATAAAGATAAATACAACAAATATGAGAAAAATAAACATTATAAAAACTAAAAGGCCATTAAAACCCAAAGCTCCCATAATGTACAATCCTACATAAAAGCTCCCATAGTTTGATTGATCCAATGGTATGTGAGGTTGGCATGTATATACATTGTTATATGAATTTTTATACTATATGTAAATACATTACATAGTTTAATTATTATTTTAATTATAATTATAGAATTTATTATTAACAAAACAATAAATAAATAAATAAACATTATAAAAGGCTATTAAAACCCAAATAAGTTCTAATAAAAGAAATATTTTCTTCTTATTTTTTAGAAAATGAGAATTATAATAGGTTGATCATTGGAATAAAATGATGTAGTCAAACTATTGACAAATATATATTGTTAAAAAAAACTAATTCATTGTCATTAACTAATAAAATTGTAATTTTCTACTAAATTAAAAAACTGATATAAAATATTGTCATTTTCTTGGAGCATGTGATAAAAGAAAAGGGTGTTAGAATAGGTACTTACATTGGACCACATGATCTCAATCCCCTCTACACATAGATTTTTAACTATTATTATACTTAAATGATTTAAAAAGTTTTACGTCGATCATGATAATTTTTTTTCAAATACAAACCATTATTTCCAATCTAATGTAATTTTTTATATTATATATTTTTTAGTTAAATGTAATATTTTTTATCCAACACTATTCTTAAGTATTGCTATTTTTATTTAAGTTAAAAACTAGCAATTCACTAATTTGGACATTTTTTTATTATTTTTAAACATAGCCTTCAGACAATTTTTTAGTTTATTTGACATATAACATCATATTTAAATTAACAAATTAAGTATACTTACTAATTGGTTATATATATTAAGAAATTGGGATGCTACCTCTTAAAATTCAGAATTTTATTTTAAGTTTCAAAGTTAAACACTTCAGATTTAAAGAAAAAGCCTCATAAAAATTAAAAATTGATGCTAAATAATATGTTGGAATCAGTTCACTAATATCCAACGTTATGATTTCTAATAATAGATAAACCTGTGTGCAGATAATAGATAACAAGATAATAAATAACAGATAATAAATAGATCATCACCTTTCAACTTTTAGCAAAAATGGTTAATATATTACAATTCTTTAACAAATGGAAGGAATTTGATGCCTTTAGGAATGGTCCATTCCATTCCTTCTGGCAATGCAAACAGCCTTTTCAATTCCATGGAATGGATCATTCCATTCCTTCTCCGGTTCAGTTATACCAAACACTACCAGAATGCTATATGATCTCTTAGTTATTATTTACTAATAAAAAAATAGCTTCAGAAAAAGTTATTAGCCACCTAAAAGTTATAGTTGTTGGATGTAACCATTAAAGAGTCAATTATATATAATTTAAGCCACAAACAAATAAGATTAGTGATCTTGACATGTCTTTAAGGACAAAAAGCATATAATAATGACCAATATGAGTAAATCCTGCCTAATCATGAAATAATAATCACTTTTATTGACAAACAAGAACCAAAATAACAAGATATGCAAAAAAAAAAAAAAAAAAAAAAAAAAAAAAAAAGGTGTTTAGTTGAGATGGGGTAGAAGACTTACATTAAGCTTTGTTGTATCTACACCTTCCACGTTTATATTTGAATCTGGGACACCTTCACAAGAGGTAAAAAGTAACTTTCATCAAAAACCCATAACGTTAGTCAAATGTCTAAAATACCCTTCAATAATGACTAAACAAGAAAGAAACTTGTGAACCAAAATCAATAGTCTCAAGATTTTGTAGGAATGAACTTGAAAATAATCGAATATGAAAATTTAGCTCAACAACTTGGAAAAGTTGCCATAAATATAGAACAACCCAACCCTTATTAGAAATTGTTGCAATTTTCATGGGACAAAAGGGGTAGAAGCTAACAATATTTAGTATTTACTAACATAATTTACCTAAATTGTAAGAAGCATCTTCAGTTTTTATGCATTTCCCAATGTTATCTTCTTCAAAACACCATACACTACTTACTGAAACTTGGTCAGACCGAGGTTCCACAAGTAGACAATCAACATCGATTGCTTCTTCCTCTAAAGAATGGTATAAAGATTCTTCTTCAACCTATGAAAAATAATAACATAATAAGAAAAATACATCGTAACAGAAATAGCATATTAACAAGAAAAATAATAACATAATTTTACTATTTTGAATCAACGATCGTCATATAAAATCGAAGCGAAATCATTGTGATTCACGATTGTTTCACTAATTGTGCAATAATAAACCCACATTCCTTACAGGCTACAGCATTTCGGTGAATTAGCATATGAGAACATATTATAGCAGTTCACAATATTAACAATTACTACCTGATTGCATAAAATTACTAAATAAAGAAAGAATCGAAAGCATAGATTGCAAGAAGTTAGAAGTAAATACTAGAAAAATGGGGTAAAATATACATTAGAAACATCAACAGATGCCCATAAAAGTCTCGAACATAATCAATACTACATTTCACACTAAGAAACTTAGAAAATGTCCATGAGAGTGTCAAACAAAAATCTGTTGTCAATATCCTCAAATTTAATCAAAAAGAGAACTAAACACAAACACAATGATTTCAAGAATCACATGCATACACTGGAGAAAATCTAGAGTAAATACAAAAATGCGAAAATTCAAGACTATAATTCCCACAAAAACCCAAATGGAGGACCATTTACAGATGCCCATTAAAGTGAGAAGCAGAAACCCCATTATCAAAAGCCTCGAATCGAATTCCATGAAGTGATAATGCAAGTAGACAAAAACTGACCTGATTCATCAGTACGATCAGAACGAAACACGCGATGAACTCACTCTACTGAAAAGAAAAGCTCCGATCGACCGAATTCCTTCATAGGATTCTCGAATGTGACAAAAAAACAGCACACAGAGGATTGTGAGAATGTGAGAAAAGGGGGAGTGAGATTATTATTGGACGGAATCGAAATGTTTTGTAGGAAATCAGAATGGAATTTGTATTTGGAATCCGGGTGTGGCGACGCGTGTGGAATCAAACGGACAACGACCACCGTTTTGCGCTCCAGCTGCTTTCATCGCTTATTTAAAGAAGCAGCAACAGCAACCAATGGATTATGACAGCTGTCTGTTTGGTCCCACTTTTGATTTTAATGTTATTATAGAAAAAATGGTTTTTTAGCCGTAGGTTTAATTAAAATTTTCCTTTTGGGACAAATTAGTTTATTTATGAAAGATGGTGATAAGTCAATCATTAATGTCTTAACACAAAAATTAGAAATAAGTTTGTTTACAACAAGATTCCTAAACCACTAATGGGAATTTAGTTACATAAGTACATAATAATGTAAATATCATTTGAGTTTTACTAATTATATTATTATTAATATTTTATTTATTTTGGAAAAGAAACTTTTCTAATGTAAGTTTTCCAGTCAATTTTTGTACATTCTCCACTACAAGCATAAGATTATGTTTAATGTTCAAGAGTCATTGCAACTCCTTGCAGGGAACATATATAGCCACATGGACCGAGAAGTATCAAGATTTTAACTAGTATGAATTGGGAACATATATGGCCACATGGACCGAGGAGTATCAAGATTTTAACTAGTATGAATTGGTTGATTAGAATAAAAATTAATTGAATGAAAAACAGTGTTATATGTCTAATATTATTAATATAGGATAATGTCAATGTAGCTCAACCAACTTTTAGGTTTTTGTTTTAAAAGATAGTTTATGTTTTTTTTTTTTGGTATTCTACATCCCTAAATTATTATTTACTTGTTAAAATCGGGAATGATCCCTTTTGCTTCTGATTCCACCGGTTACAGTTAATCAATCTTGTTTTTTTTAAATAGGTATATTAGAAATTACCAATTCTATATGGCTTTTTTTATCTAGGCGTGTTTAAAAGGGGAAAACCCTAATATCCTAACCTTATTATACCCTTCACAAGGGCCGGTCTCCTCCACAACCACCACTTCTACAAAATTCAACACAATAAGCATCCACCACCACTCTTTGCATCATCTTAACCATCACCATCACCACCTTCCTCTTTCTCCTTTTCTTCATTTCCCTATTCTCATCCCTACCACCATCGTCTTTGTTCTCCGCCCAATACTTCATCCGACTCCTTTTGTCTATCTACCATCCAAGAAACCAATCTCTTCTTCATCTTGATCGTATTGCCCTAAAAAAAGAACGCAACTTTTTAGCCTTACTCATTCAATCAATTTTGGTGTGTTGGACGCACAAAATGTTAATGTTATAGGGAAATTGTAACACCCTGTTTATTTAATTAATAAATAAATTAATTAATGAACGAATAATAGCTCTGAAATAAATAATTACATGTAAAAGGATGGTCTCCCCAGAGCTAATTGTCATAATCTGGAAGTTGAGGGTTAAAAGTGTAGTTCCAGACTGATTTTGTAAGTATTTATGAAGGCGGGGACTAGATGGTAAATTCTGAACCTTAATTGAAAAGAATTTGTCAAGCAAGGGGCTGTTTTGTAAATCTCGAACTTAATTAGTAAAGATTTTCCGGGACAGGATTTAAAAGGTAAATTTGGGATTTACTTTGAAATAATTTCTAGTTGGAGGGGCTAAATCGTAAATTTCGGATGTTAGTTGGAAAGAATAATGGAAGGAGGGACCATTTATGCGATTATGGGATAGATCTTAAGGGAACCGGGTATTTAACTGTTTCATTGTCTCATAACCCTAACCCTAAGGGGCAGCAGCCGCCACCCTCTCCATCTTCACTTCCGGTAGCCGCCATCACCATTGGAACCCTCATCAGCCACCGGTTACATCACCGAGTCTGGCAGCCCGGTTCCGCCTACTGCCTTGTCGACGAGCATTACCGAACCACCATCTTGCGCCGCCGACGTTCCCTTTTCCTGTGATGACAAAGTTTGTCGCTGCTGCCGGAGACGTTGGTGCGCCGTTGGAGCCGCCAAAGACGGAGGAGGGAACCGCGAGCATCGTCGTCGCACGAACCGTGAACGAGCTGCTCTCAGGCGTACTCTCCTTCTCCACCTTCTTCCGTTGTTGTGTCATCACTGCCGCCCCAGCGGCTGTTCCCTTCCGCTGCCGACCTTCGTCAGTTGCACGCCATCAGGTGGAGGTGTGTCTAAGTTAACGTGTGTTGCTGCTACGGTTTATGTTTGCTGTGTGAGCATGAAAGCTTAGCCGGAGATCGAAAGATAAAACCCACCAAGGCCGCCGACCATGGTGGTTGTTGCCCTGAAACCGTTTTCCGCCACCACAGGCCACCGTGAGGTGGTAGCTGTGTGAGTAAACCCTTGGATCAGTGTGTTTTGAAGTTGGTTGCATAATATTTGGCCGGAAATCGCAAGAGCCGCCACTGCCACCACCGTGAGGTGGTGGCTGCCACCTTCTACCACCACCGGCCACCATAGGGTGGCTGTGTGTGTGCTTATGTTGTTTAGTGTATGTGTTTATTTTGAGTTTTCAGCATTGTAAAGTGTAAATTACAAATTGAATAATGGAAAGAAATTTGAAACCACCACCGTGAGGTGGTGGCTGCCGCCACCGGCCGCCCTGTCGGGTGGCGGTGTGCTTTGATGGTGTTTGGACTCGTTTGGATGTTTGGACAAGGGACTAAGAAACTCTAATGGTCCCAATGAGGCTTAATGGGCTTAATGAACCCTAATGGGCCCAATGAAGCTTAATGGACCCAAAAGCCCAAACATGTGACTAATGGGTGTAATAAACCCTAATTGGCCTAAGGAAAACCCTAATGGGCTTAAGGACTTGGTTTTGGGCCTGTTGGGCTAAGATGGGATTGGAAACCCTAATTAGGGTTTAGAAAACCCTAATATTGGATTTATGGGCTTGGACTTATTGAGACCCACTTTTGGGCCATTAGAATGGAATTGTGTGATTAAGCCCAATCACACCATATGACTTATTTAGAAGAATGATGGACTTAATGGATTAAGTCCTTAATGGATTAAGTCCTTAATGGATTAAGTCCTTAATGGGTTAAGTGAGAAATACTTAACCCTAATCGTCATTTTATGTGAAACCCTAATTTCACATGGGTGTATTGATGGGCCTTCTATTGGGCCTTGATGATTGCGTTATTAATGGGCCTAGGGTAAGGCTCATGTAAGGGGTTTGGGCCCAATTTGGAAAATTGGGCCATAGATAGGCCATAGTTTGGGCCTTAATGATTATATGATGTCGGGCCTTAGAATGAGACCATGTATAGGCCTAGGCCCAATTTGGAAACTTGGGCCATGTGTTGGGCTTTGATTCCTAATTGACTTTGGGCCTATGGATTGGGCCTTGGGCTTGAATAAGCCAAGCTAGGGGTAATGTAGTAATTACCCAAAGAATGTACTTATGGTTATGTAGTGGGACCCAATTATTCATTGGGTAATGTTTGATATTGACAGATCGGGAATCTGTCATCCAGCAGCTAGGGTTGAGTCTGCGGGACTTCAGCAGTGTGGGGTTGAGTCTTCGGGACTTCAGCAGTGCGAGGTGAGTTACCTTCCAGTAGGGGTGGGTCTAAGGCCACAATGCCGGCCCACCAACAGGGGTAGTTGGTAGATAATTGTCTTTGTGATAATTATCTTGGTATGATATGCTTGTGAGATATGCTTATGTGATATGCTTATGTGATATGCTATGTATGTTAATGGTAGTAGCAGGGAATAGTTTTTCCCTGACTCGGTCGTTAGGCCCGAAGGGTAGGTCAGTACCCCAGATATGCCTGAATGTATGATTATATCCTGTTATTGTATGATAGTGGTAGGGGTGAAATAGTCGAAAGATACCGACGACAGATACCGGTTGAAAGATACCGATGGCAGATACCGGTTGAAAGATACCGACGGCAGATACCGGTTGAAAGATACCGAAGGGGGTATACAGAACCCATGCAATGCTTATCTGTCTGTTTATGATGTTAGTATGTGATCAGTATGTTTATGATGTTAGTATGTGATCTGTATGGTTATGATACATTATTATGTGATAGTGGTAGGGGTGAAATAGTCCCCCGGTTACCGGTTGAAAGATACCGATGATATTATGTGGTATGTGGTATGATGGGGGAACTCACTAAGCTTTGTGCTTACGGTTTACAGTATTGGTTTCAGGTACTCGTTTTCAAAGGAAAGGAGCCGACTTGATCGCATCGCATCACACTATGTTTTCCGCACATGAGATCTTGGGGATTACACTCTGATATTATTTTATGATAATATGTTTTGATTACTGACACTTTGGTTTGACACGAGATATTATTATGAATGTGTTTATACTGATGGATTTTATGTAATAACTTATTTAAAAATGAAATTTTTGGCCTTGAATTTTGGGATGTTACAGAAATCTCATATATTTTCTCCTAAAGGATCCTCTTCTATTTCTTCTACTTTACATAGCATTATTATTCTTGTGAAGTTTTGCCGTGATCGAGATTGGTTGATTAATCTCTTTGTTGCTAATTACCACTTGTTACTCAAGATGGTAATCTTCACTTTTGCATATTTTACTACAATTAGTTTGTTTCTAACCTCATTTTTACATATTCTTGACTGCTTAATTTCATTGTTTGTTTCAAGTAACATTTTCTTAGCAACTCACGGTTTATACAATGAATGAGTTTCATAAGTGATTATGTTAAATATTATAATTTTACGTGGTCATAATTTGCTTTGGTGGTGGTGGTGGAAGGTGGAGAGTGGGTTGAAGGAGAAGGTGATGAGGTGAGAAAACAAAGTGTCAATGGCAACTTTGGATTTTTCATGGTCAAAGTTCATGTAGACGCAACGCCACGTGGACACAAACATTGTCAACTAAGAGGGGTAACCAACTAACCTTTTTACATTTGAAAAATAGGGATGTTTTTTATACCGATTTTCATAGTTTAATACTTTAGAGTACAAAAAAATACAAGAGGAATTTTTTAAACAAAAAATCAAGAGTTCATTAGGCTACAATGACACTATCCTTATTTTTTATTTTTTTAAAACGACATTTATTAGGAAAAAACAAACAAAA